GCCACGCTCTTGATATTCGACTCAGGTCACTCTCTGTTTTTCTTTTCCCCTCCAATTTATAGAGAGGTTGATTTTGAGATTTTGCATTTGTAGTGATTTTACTATTGGATTGAATCTTAAAATGAATTTCATTGAAACAAAAACGAAACCTCTGTCAGTGGGGTGATGGATTCATGGCTGAATAAATCATGATTTTCTTGATTGAGACAAAAAAAAATGTTGGGCAATTTTAGAATTCTTGAAAGTAGCTAAAATTTACATATTTATTCTGCAAACACCTTTGCGCTTTTCTGATTGACATCTTCTGAGCATATGATTTCAGCAAGGGAGTTCATGATGGATGCTATCAGAGCAGACAAGAAATTTTATATTAAATGAAATATCAGTTAGAGATATTACACTGTAGAGACATGAATTATGTGAAGCGTTTCTTGACGCCATGGTTCTTAAATCAGTGCTTGTCATCTTTAGTAGACTTATCGTGATGCTGACCGGTAGATTTCAACCAGGTACAAGCCAGACATAATCAAAGGGGATATGGACTCAATTCGGACAGAAGTACTGGACTTCTATACCAACTTGGTAGTTGTTTCTTGGTCCCACTTATATCACTGTATTACCAGTAGGATGTTTTCCTTTTATTCGTCCAAAGTATCCTCTATCCATGCCCTTCCATTTGCCAACTTATCATTTTGGAGTTGGGCACTTATCATTGAAGCCCCTTTTGAATCTTTTCAATTGTTTTCTGGGTCATGCTTTTACATGGATTTTTTTCTTCTGAGTGTGATCAGTCAAACCTCGCTCAGATACTCGAGCTTGCTTCAAAAATGCAGGGGACCAAGGTAGTTGATGAATCTCACGATCAGGATACCACAGATCTACACAAGTGTGTAGCCTACATTCGAGACTTTGCTCCAAACTTGGATAGATCAAATGTAAGATAAACATATTCACATCCAAAGGCTCCTTTTTTAAAGTGCATCTACCTGATCTCATGCATTTATCATCTACCTAGACACTTTCGTAAAGAATTTTGATTGATTTATTTTGAGTCCCTGCAGTTTGGTGAGTGTTGTGTTTGCCTTCAAAGCATTCTAGTGTGGAAATTTAAGGACAGTATATGTTTGAGTCACTAAGTTTTTAGTGCAGCTAAACTTTTGCTCCTTTTAAAACCAGCACTATAGTTTTGACATTTTATGACTCCAGTCAATTTGTACTCATTTGCCTGCTTAAATATGTACCCCATAAAGATTATTTTGTTGCTTTTAGAAGCTCAAAGTACAAAAATTTTAACTTTTGGGAGTTGAAAATAAATTACCAGAATCATGATGTCCATATTCTTCATGACAATCCTGGTTAGTTTTTGCTCAGGAGCTTGCCAGTGAAAAAAATAAACTGCACTGGGTGTTAGGAGTCCATCATTGTGACTGTTTCCCTGCTCATTGGCAATATGACAAGTTTTTTTGCTTTTGTTGTAATTTGCAGCTCTGCATTCTTGTAGCTGGAGCACTTGGTGGGCGATTTGACCATGAGGCTGGAAACATTAATGTGCTATATCATTTCTCAACCACGCGAATAATCCTTTTATCGGATGACTGCCTAATCTACTTACTTCCAAGGACTCACCGTCATGAGATTCATATTCAATCTTCTGTTGAGGGTCCGCATTGCGGACTCATTCCCATAGGGATGACATCTGTGGACACTAAAACAACGGGGCTTCAATGGGATCTCAGTAAGTAATTCGATTTGAAATTATTCTGGGGAGTGCTTTCATTTGCTCAGCTAATAAGCAGAAACATAAAGGTCTCCAATCTCTAGTCTTGTGTTCTCTGGTCAAAATTTTCATTACATTACACATCACCATTAATATTGTCATTTGACATATGGAGGGGTAGCCTCTAGATAGTTTTGGGCACTTGACACCCAGCTTTTCTTCTCTGGGGTACAGAATGATGTGTTAGACAACCAGGGGAGAAATGCCAGGGATTTGCAATGATTCACTTCTTCTCTAACTTCCTTTCCTCATTGAATAAACTCTTACAGATGGTTAATGTCTGATGGATTTCTTTCATCCTCTTTCTCGGCTATTATGAAATTTGCCATAGGAGTCTGATGGACTGAATTTCATATTTTCTGTTTTCCAGCTAACACGGAAATGAGGTTTGGTGATCTGGTAAGCACATCAAACTTAGTCCAAGGTGAAAAAATAACAGTGCAGTCCAGTTCTGATCTTCTTTGGACGATATCCATCAAGAAGGTGTGATTGCAAGCCCTCTTCAATTAAAGAACTATAAAGTGAGTTGTAGGTAATTCTCTTTGTTCATATCAAATTACTATTGAGAGGGAATGTTATATTTTAGGCAGTATTAGCTTTCTTTTCCGCTGTTACTTGGAAATCCTGCCTCAAGCCCTATTAGGCTTCTCCTATTGTTGAACTTTTCCTTGAGTTGTTTGCATCATAATGATGGCAAGGAGGTAGTAATTGTAAGACATTTGCTGATGTGAGGTTTTCATTGATCTCCTCCTCACTCCATCCAGTGGTGACTAGATGTACATTCACAAGGTATTTTAAATATTAATTCCACATGTTATCTCATATTATCACCAATTTTTATGTAATCAACTTCAGATTGTATCAGGAGTCACATTATCAACCCGCATACAGCACAGCAGTTATATCAAGCTGAATGTAAAATCACTGGACACACAATGCCAGGATTTGTTAGGCTGTAGATGTTTCCTTTGGCACACCCTACAAGAATAGTACTAAGATGGGTGACCTCCTAAGAAGTCCTCGTGCTGCACCCTTTCTTTTTGCCAGTTTCCAACGCGACCCCGCCCAACCCCTCTCCTCCTATCTCTTTCCACTTTTTTTTGGTCTCCTGCTCCCCTATCTTTCCTTTCCTCTCTTTCCTTTCCACTTTTTTTTGGTCTCCTGCTCCCCTATCTTTCCTTTCCTCTCATTCCCTTTCCCTCATGACATCCCCGGCCGGTTAGGAGGAGTGTGGTGTTTTGCCTAATAGGAGCAAGTTAAAGGGCAGAAGAGTAAATGGTCCATGGCTCTGGGGCAAGGACTACAAGATCTGAAGATTCGACAGTCGGCATAGCGATTCTATAGCTACTAGAAGGAAAACAAACTCCGAAAGCTCTTGTAAAAATCTGGGCGCAATCTAACGGTCGGATCTCAAGTTATGGCTCTTTTGAGCTGTTGTTCCTACCCGGCATGAATTGGCTCGCTCTAGGGTCCTATCGCGCTTCCCCAAGCCGACGCCCCTCTGCAACAGTGCTCAAACCATCGAAGAACCTCCCATTACCTGACAATTCTCCTCGCGGGTGCCTATGAAGCTCTTAAAGGAATTGCACGTGCATGAGTTAACAATTGCGATCATACCAACACTAATATATTAATATACTGAATTTCATCAAACTCTGAAGTTAAATATACTTTGACAAAAGTAATACTAGGATAAATGATCTCTTAAAAAGTTCTTATGTTATACCCCCTCTTCTTAAACATACTTTGGCAAAAGTAATACTAGGATAAATGATCTCTTAAGAAGTCCTCATGTTGTACCCCCTCTTCTTCCATCTTTCTTTTTGGGTCTCCTACTCCCCTATCTTTCCTTTCCTCTTCTTTCCTTTCCTGCACAGCGTCCCTTGCCGGCTGGGAGGAGTGCGGTGTTTTGCGCGATAGAAGATTGTTAGAAACTACAGCAGTTATAAGCGTCTTAAATTTACTGCCCTATAATTTACGTCATGCAATTTGACAAGTGACCTGTTGAGGGAATAGCTGCAAACAGAACCATGTAAGTGGATTCTTGCGTGAAACGTTGCGCTTTCTTTTTGTGCTGCCCAGAGTCAGGAAAGGGAATATTGAGAAGACCAGAATCTTCTTCACCGGAAATGTTACTCACCAGAAATGTTATACTACCGTGGTGTGCAACGCAAAGATGATTTATTCATTGTCAGAACCAGTATTTACATGCTAGAACGAAGTGGGGGAAACGAATCCAAAGAAGAAGAAAAATGCAAATTCGGCCAAATTACCAGCCAATAAATATAGTCAGATTCCTGAATGCCGTCAATAATTAAAACCTATTCTACGGTCAGGACCTGCAATGAAATTTCCACAAAATACAGGTCCTAAATCTAGGCGACTTAAGAATAAATTAAACAAGAAATGCCTATACATGAAACATACATTCTCTACATGAAATAGCTGAGCGATTTCTTCTTTCTCGATCCACCTTCTCCATATAGATCATTCCATTGGAGGAGCTCGTTCATATTTGTAGACTCTGATGACACACTTGCACAAACCTGCAATTATTAGAGTATTCACATGACTAATTCATAAATAAATTGAAATTAGAAGACTAAATGACAATGCTAAGGTGGTTGTTTATGTTAGCAGGGATGGCATTTCTTTCTTCAATAAAATCCTAAATGCACCCACACGAGGCAACAATCTCTGATACAAACTACAAAAGCCAAGGAAAGAACAAAATCAATCAATCTCTCAAGGTGAATCCACATGAGAATAATATACGTTTCCAAGAGAGGCTGCGCCTGGACACAAACACCTCATTAATCCCTGTGGTTTTAAGATGATTCTATTGAGCGTCTTCACAAGGGCAAAATGCCATGAACTAACTGCTAAATGTAGAACATGACCAACCAATAATAGATAGCATCTATTGGTTTTCTAGCCTCTATGGCAAAATGCATCTGTGGGTTTTCACATGGGTCTTCTATTCTGACGTTTATAAACTAGAGGGCTCTCATATCTGACTGTTCTCTTTCTGTAACAGCATCGCCATTTCCAAGTCAATTATTATCTTATCCTCCCTATTACAGCTCTTCTTTTTCATCATTTTCTCCAACATAAAAAGGAATAATCAAAGATTAAATTTTAACAGATGGCTGGGTGGGGAACTTGAAAAACAAAATGCTGCTCCAGGATGGAAAGGTCGTTTGATGATTAGTGTTGACCAGCTCAGATTCCCAGACCAAACAGCTAAAGGAAGATATTTGGGCCAATAGGTGAATTAACAAACAAACTTGAAACAAGTATGCTAATCAGTCAACTCCCCAACCAATTAATGAAAATGTTCAGAATCATCATACCTGTTCATGTGCATATCTAAAATCCTCCATCTTAAGAGGACGGATGTCAGAACTGCTGTACAATGTGGGCAATGGACTATTCTCAGCCAATGCCAAAGTTATTTCCTGAAATTTGTGCCCCTCAAAAGTCAATTGCACAGCCAACAAGTGTACAAAATGATGTACAAAAATCGAATCACCACATGTATAGCATTTAAAAAAGCAAGCAAGATAGCAATTTAGAAATTTCCCATGCCACGTTTCCGCCCCAAATTTGTTTAAAAACATCAACACAGCCAAATAAAAATGATAAACATGTTTCCATTCAGTACATTGGAATTTACAAGTCAACAAGCAAGTATATTTGGACTTCTAAGAAAAACCATGATTCATTTAACTAAAATGTTTACTGGCAGTGTGACAAGTGCTCACATTACATGCCCAACTGTGCTGATGTTATTAGATGCCATATTTGCAGCAGCTATCTAAAAGTTTCAAGAATGTATACACTAACATAAACCACATGGCAGTCATATCCAGCAGCCCTCTCAGACAATTCCAAGAATGTAGTCTCCTAGGCTAACAACTTAACAGGAATATATATGAATGTGCTTAAGAGCAATACTTGCATCAGAACGCTGTGGACTAAAATGACTTCCAGGCATGAAATGATTCAGACATAAACCAAGTCCAAGGAGCCCTTAGCACAAGCACTGAGAAAGAAGGCTACCTTGGGGTACTTATCAGCAGTGCTTGTATTGTAACATTGCAGACTAAGATGATTTCTAGGCATGAAATGTATCATGGAATAAATATTCAATGCGGGGTTTCAATTATATATGCACACACACAACATTGCAATTAAAGAACTAATGTGGCTTTCAGTTACATAAGTTCTAGAATAGAGAACATCAGAAAAATTCAAATTAAACAAATAGCAATGTCAAGCAAACCTTCTTTTCCTTTTTTAAAATTTCTCGTATAGGACAATGTGCAGCAGTAACACAAAGATTCTGAAACGAATGGGGGGAAAAAAGATTAGACAGAAGTAATGAGAGAAAAATCAGATGCTAGCTAAATAGTGTGAAAGAACCTTTATATCGCTCCCAGAATAGCCATCAGTCATATTTGCAACTGCTTCTAAATCAACATCAGGTGCCAAATCTTCTTTGGCCAAGATAACCCTCAGGATTTTTTCTCTATTCGGTGCATCTGGCAAGTTAACCATTAATCTGCAAACCAGTTGCAGAAGAAAGTCAATGATGTTGCTATTTTGCCATTTTAAAGAGAAGGGTAAGATAAACATAAGATAGAGCACCTCCGGGGAAGTCTCCTAATAACAGCCTCATCAAGGTCAAAAGGTCTATTTGTGGCAGCAAGTACCAAGACTCGTTCTTTATCTTTTGTACGCAGGCCATCCCAATTCACCATGAACTCATTCTTCATCTTACGCATAGCCTCATGCTCCCCTGGATTTTCACGTCTTCCCAACATGCTATCCACCTGAAAGAACACATAAGCCAAGTGACTGAACAATCATTTCATACAGACTCAAATGCAATTGATATTGTTGTTCTTATTATCATTATGACAATGATGGTATAGAATATAGCCTCTATGTATTTCATTAATTGCTTTTCGATGTGGTTTCACACTTATTTCCTTAAATATCAAGAAAGACATGTTTGAGAAGCTGGGGATTTTGAAAGACTATTAAATGAGAGAGAGAAAAAATGGTGGGCAACAAGCTGATGAAGGCAAAAATCACAGGCCTTGCAAATAAAAAGTCATCTTATCATTTTTATACTGTTCATATATGATGTAGATTCAAATTTTAATTCTCATCATTCCAAAATAATTATTATGTTCCAGTTGTATGACCAGCAAATGCTTTGCATTATCAAATAGAAATTCTACAAGACTTGTAGGAATTTTAGCTTTTAACACTGCTGAAAAGAAATACAAAAAAAATGGAACCTCCAAACAGAGACTATAATAAGGAAAAAAATGTGCCCGGACTATCACATTTGCACTTGGCTATTGGCTGTAGCTTTGTCAGGGGGTCCGGGTTTGAAAATCAGATATCAGAATGAGTGACAAGAAGATATATTGCACAAACCTCATCAACAAAAACAACACTAGGAGCGATTTTACTAGCTAAAGAGAACACTGCCTTGACATACTTTTCACCTTCTCCAAACCACTGCAATAAATATTGATGTTAACATTTCAATAAACAATAGCCTTGCTCAAGTGAAAGCTCACAGAACATTCACAACATATATGTACTCATATGTACCTTCGAAGTAATGCTCGACATAGATATATTTATAAAGTTTGCACCAGCCTCAGTTGCTACAGCCTTTGCCAGCATTGTTTTCCCAGTACCAGGAGGCCCAAACAGCAATATTCCCTTACAAGGCTGTACAGGGAATAACATCTTGTAAACATGAAAATATAAATACTTATAGGAGTGTAAAAAAAAAAAAGCCAATTTATTTTGCAATTAACCTTAGTCAGCTGTCCTTTGCAAAACAATTCAGGTCTTTGCAGAGGGAGCATAACCAGTTCCTTCAAGGTATCCTTCACATTTTCTAAGGCTCCAATGTCATCAAAGGAAACTCCAATGTCACTAGGAGGCATGACATCTGCTAGAAGTTTCTTCTCAAATTCATTCTCAGTGACCACATCCTGAAAGATGATCTTTTTGGTTAATATCATGATTGGGAGGGGGGGGGGGGGCGA